GACATACGATTAAATTGTCAATAAAGCAGATTTAATATAGCTATATCAAACTTTGTTCCTTACAGAAGATATACATTCTTTTCAAATCCCACAGACCATTTACAAAAATTGATCCTATACTGGGCCAGAAACCTTTAAATAGAAATGAATGACAAAAGATTAAGAACAAAAATTCCATCAACAAATATAAAAAGCTAATCGCTTCAAAAATAAAAAATACTCTTTAAACTAATTCAAGAGTCAACCAGGAAATCAAAATCACTCTCACGAAAATTAAAAACAAACACCATTTACGACAGCACAAAAACCATGAAATACTTGGGAATAAATCTAACAAAATATGCACAAGATTTGTATGCTGAAAATTAAAATACACTGATGAGAGAAACTGAAGACCTAAATCAATGGAGAGATGTACCATGTTCATGGATCAGAAAACTCAACACAGTCAAGATGTCAAATCTCCTCAAAATGACCTACAGATGCAAATACCAATCAAAATCCCAGCAGGTTATTTTATAGAAACTGACAAATTGATTCTGAATCTTACATGGAAAGGCAAAGGACCTAGAACAGCCAAGGCAATTTTGAAAAAGAACAAAGGAGAAGGACTTACACTACCTGATTCCAAGACATAATATAAAGCTAGAGTAATAGAGACAGTGTGGTACTGACTGAAAAATAAACACATACACCAGTGGAACGTAATAAAGTCTAGAAGCAGACCAACATAACCTGATTTTCAACAAAGATACTAAGGTAATTCAATGTAGAATGGATAATAGTTTCAGCAAATGGTGTTGGAATAACTGGTTATCCAAATGAACCTTGATCTCTACCTCTTACCATATACAAATATCAATTCAAAATGGAGCACATATAGATAAATATAAAACCTAAAGCTATAAAACTTCTAGAAGAAAATATAGGAGAAAAATCTTTGTGATCTTGGGTCAGGCAAAGATTTCTTACATAAAGCACACAAAAAATATTATACACAAAAGAAAAAAAAACTGATAAAATATATTTCATCAAAATTAAAAACTGCTTTTCAAAAGACTATATTATACACACATAACTGAAAGAAATATTTGCAAAACATACATGTGATAACGGATTTGTATCCAGAATATATAAAGAATAATAACAAGATGACAAATACCCTAATAAAAAAATGAATAAAAGATTAGAACAGGCACATCAACAAAGAGATATAAATGGCAAACAAACCTATGAGAAGATGCTCAACATCACCAGTCATTAGGGAATGCAAATTAAAACCATGATGAGATACCACTGCATACCTAGCAGAATGGCTACAATTACAAAAATATACAATACAAAGTGGCAAAATTGTACAGCCATTTTGGGCAACAGTTTGGCAGTTTCTAACAAAGGTAAATAAACATCACACAATCTAGCAATTCCACTCTTAGGTACCTACCCAAGAGAAATGAAAACATATGTTCTACAAAGACTTGTACGCAAATGTTTATAGAAGCTTTACTTATAATAGCAAAAAAACTGGAAGCAACCCAAACATCCACCAACTTGTGACTGAATAAATACTACACAGCAACAAAAAGGATGAACTACTGCTAGATGCAAAGTGGACGAACATCAAAAGTGTGACGCTAAGTGAAAGAAGCCATACCCAGAAGGCTATATATCATATGATTCCATGAATATAATTCCATTTCTATTCTGGAAAGACAAAACTATAGAGACAAAAATCAGACCAGTGGTTGTCAGGGAAGGGGACTGACTACAGAGGAGCCTGAGGGAATTTCTGAGGGTGAGGAAAATGTTCTATATCTCAGCTGTGGTGGTCGTTAGACGGCTGCGTACACTTGCCAAAACTCATCAAACTGTATACCTAGAAAGGTTTCTTTAAATAAATTATACCACAATAAACCTGACCTAAAAAAAAAAAGCATTTCAAATTCATGGTAACGATAATGTTACCACTGTTTACAGAATGTACTCAATCTGCACTAAGAGGAAAATTAATAGCCTTATGTACTTTCATTATTAAATAATAATAAATGTACCGAACACTTGAAAAAGATAATAAAAAACCAAGTCTAATTAAGAAAAATGGATAAAAAACACAAATGTGCAATATTAGGAATAAAAATAAATTTTCAAGTATAAAGACACTAAAACTTATAATTAGAATGAATCTAAGAAATGCATTAAATAAACAAATGATCAAAATTGATTCAAGAAGAGGTAGAAAACCCTGATAGGGCAATAACCTAATTGGAAATGTTCTCAGAACACCATCCCCGAAAAAGTTCCAGGTTCAGATGGTTTTATGGCACTTTTTAAGCTATACCATCAAGAAATAAAAAAGTTCTGTGTTATAGTTATTAACCATTCCAGAGCATCTGGAAGCCAGTAGACGTTAGAATGGCATCCTCGATGTCCTGAGAATTCTATTCCCAGAGAAAGTACCTTTCAAGAGCAAGGGTAGAATGAAGACATTTTCAGACAAGCAATATTGGGAGAGTTTACCAGCACAGACTCTCACTAAAGGACTTCTAAAGGCAAAACGAAAAGCAACCCAGACAAAAAGCCTGAAATCTAAGAAGGAAGAGCAAAGTGTGGAAGATCCAATTAACAGTGACTTTATAAAACAATACAACAAAGTCATATACTTTTTATGCAAATAATGTTTTTGGAGCCCTGGTGGCTCAATGGTTAAGAGCCTGGCTGCTAACCAAAAAAGGTCGGCAGTTCAAATCCACCAGCCACCCCTTGGAAATCCGATGGGGCAGTTCCACTCTGTCCTACAGGTTCGCTATGAGTCGGAACTGACTCGACAGCACACAACAACAATGTGCTAGTTTTTTTTTTCAGCAACATGCAAAAAAAAAAAAAAAAATTGGCATAGTGACGCTTATGAAAATACCTAGCAGGGGGAGGGAGTGGTTGGCAAACAAATAGTGAAGGAGCACATTATTTTTGGATAGAATTAAAATACATGACAACAATAATATAAAAATTTAAAGGGACGTAAATGGAAATGGAGTTAAAGTGTGTTCTAAGATCGCCGTAGGAGAATTAATTTTAAACTTCAATAAAATAACCATGCATCTAATAATATCTAGGATAATAAGTTAAAGACTGTAAAGCCCCCAAACTATTCAAAGGAAAAAAACATGGAAAGATATTAAAAACAATCAATCCAGAACAAGGCCCCAAAAAAGGGAAAAAAGAACAGAGGAGACATATAAAAAGCACAAAAGAAGAAGGAAGATTTAAATTCTAATATACAGTAAATTGGAGCCCTAGTGGCACAGTGGTTAAGAACTTGGCTGCTAACCAAAAGGTGAGCAGTTCAGATCCACCAGCCGCTCTTGGAAACCCTGTGGGGCAGTTCTACCCTGTCCTATAAGGTCACTATGAGTCGGAATCGACTGGACAACAATGAGATTTTTTTGGTTTATATAATAAATCACAATAAATGTAAATGAATCAAATGCTCCATTTTAAAATGATAAAGACTACCAGGCCAATTAAAATAATCCAATCAAACGCTGTTTACAAAAAATATTTGAAATAAAGAAAGTAAAAAGACAGCAAATGATCTAACATGTAATTACGGTCAGAAGAAAGCTGAAGTAGCTATATTAACACCAGACAAAAAAGACTCAGACAAAAGTTATACTGTTGTTGTTGCGTGCCATCCAGTTGATTAATTTACTAGAGACCTGAATAAATTAAAAGATACAAAATATCCATGCAATGGAAGCCTTAATATTGTAAACACAGCAATTTTTTTTTACAAATTGATCTCTATATTTAGTGTTATCTCAATCAAATAATAACAGGTTTTTGGTGGTTGTTGTTTTGGTAGAACTCGAACAGGTGACTCTAAAATTTATGTATAATAGCCAAGAATCAATGAAGAATGAGCATACTAAGTCTCTGAACCCTAATCTGATCATCTACTAAGTGCAGATACTAATAATTGACCTAACATCTTGGGATACTTGTGACTATCAAATCATAATATACAGAAACGTGATAGAAAATTAAAAACAATAAACCCACCAGCTTAGTTTTCATCATGTGGAATTCAAAGGTTTTAAGCTATACTAAAAAAAAAAAGCCCACTGCTGTTGAGTCGATTCTGACTCATAGCGACCCCACAGGGTTTCCAAGACTGTAAATCTCTAAGGAAGCAGACTGCCACATCTTTCTCCCGTGGAGCCACTGGTTTCAAACTGCTGACCTTTCGGTTAGCAGTTGATCGCTTTAACCACTGAGCTACCCGGGCTACTTTATGTTACACCAGAGCCATGATAATGCCAAGAGATAAAAACATAATCCATGAAAATTAAAGGTCTAATTCTAACAATCTTCCATCTCACTGTAAAGAGCATTATTTAGAAAATGCTGCATTCGTTATCAATAAGGGATAAAAGAACAGTTTCATTTTGAGAGAGAAAAATAATAACATTAATTTAACCTAAGAAATAGTATACAAGATGTCACGTTAAAAGTCTAGAGAATGCGAGGTCTGCTTTTGTACTCATAAAAGAGAACTTAAGAATGGTTTTTGCTCTCAATGAAAAGGAGAAATACACTTTGCCAAGTCCTATCCAGCACCTTTTCCATAATTAATCACAGTCAGCACCTAAATTGTTCTCCCTAAATTGACTAAAGGAGGCAGGAATAAAATGATACAGTTTAATTGGGCGTCTCAATTACCTTTGGTGCAGTTATGGGAAAATTAACAAGAAACTGAAAGGCAAGTCTAACTCACTAAAACAAACAAATACCGAAGGACAGGAATTTTATGTATTAAATCCAGCACTTATAAAATAACTTCTGCTACAAATGACAACAATGCTCTTAAACGTTTTTCATATTCAAACTTTCAGAAGATGATAAAGACAACATAAGATGTAAAGCAAAACAATCTACTCTATTAAAATGTTTTATTACGTTATTCTTGCATATAAAATATTAATGTTCAAAGTTCAACATACCTGAATATCTTCCCTACTCCAAGTATGTGGTGTTTTATTGGCAAGTAACTTCAGATCTTGAATAGCAAGTCTCTTTACTGCTTTCCTGGGGTCATTCTTCAAGTACTGCAATAGAAGCTGAATCTATAAAGGAAAAAAGGCACTCCATGAACACTGCTGTCACCAGAATGATCGTTAAGGATACAGTGTAGTTCAGTGAAACTTTTAGATTAGACTCAGGGCTGGTTTTAAATCACATCCCTGACACTTAATAGCTCCGTGCCCATGACAGCATGTTTGGGCTTCTTTCTCCTGCTGTAGAAAATAAGATACTATCGTTTAACTTGTAACATTCTAGCACAGGTCTTGGCATTTAACAATTCTTCCTTCTTTTCTCTACTGCCAACTCCACACCCTGCCATATACCTCCACCCTATTTTCTTCAAGGGCTCCCAAGAAGGAGTGCTGTGAATATAGAAAAGCAAAAAGCAAGCAAAAGGACATTATACTGATCTTTATCAGAGAAAGGGAGCTTAATGCTATCAAAACTTAAGTTACTTATTTTTTATCATATACTTAATAAGTAAGTTTATTAAAGAAAAGGCCACTGAAAGAAGAAAATTGAAATGACCTGCTTAGGTGTATCAACCAAAGATGAAGCTGCAAGCAGAGTGAAAGTGTGCAGAGAAACAATGACCATTCTGGTAGAAGGATAGGACGTGACCAGCTGCTGTAAAAGCTGTCGAGCGCTGGAAGCCAGGATTGCGTCGTGGTGCATGTGCTGCAGGATGGGGATCAACTTCAGCTTCAGGTCAACCGGTGTGGCTAAACCTAGACACAAAAGAACACGCAGACATTTCTCATCTTCAGCCTTCATAATATTTCAGGTGTAAAAGGTCTGATTCAATGAGCAAAACGTTTAAAAACAAATAGCATACTAATATTATGTTTACAACATTAAAGATAATTGTACTGGGAGCCCTGGTGGCACAGTGGTTAAGAGCTCTGCTGATAACCAAAAGGTCAGCAGTTTGAATCCACCATCACTCCTTGGAAACCCTAAGGGGCAGCTCCGCCCTGTCCTATAGGGTAGGTATGAGTCAGAATTGACTCAATGGCAACAGGTTTGGCTTTTTTTGTGCGTTTCCCAGAGCTAATCAATATGTGGAATAGTTTTTCCAAAAAATATTTATTTTAACAATGTTAATTTTTCAGTGATTATTAAAATACGTGCTAGTAGAAAATGCCTTTGAAAGACATGGTACAAAGCGAAGCCTTACACTTGCTGCCTATTTCTTCTCACAGCATACTAAAACAACATACACACATGAGCTATTTATACACACACTCTTAGGTATACACACATATTCCACGGCTACACTTTGGTTATATTTAAAATTTTAATTATTTCCTTCAACAGTGAATCAAGATCGGCATGCAAACAGGCTGTGTGGCATGGTTTTTAAGTGCTATGAACTTTATTTGTGCAGCAATGCCTTTCTTTACTGCATATACAGCTGGGCTCTGTGAGGCGTCCCTCCAATCTATCTATCCAGTCAACACTGCGGTTAAAGCATAGCTTTGCTGTGACACAGAAGTTTCTCAATCATAATGTATTACATATTATGCTCAAAATGAATTAATATTCTGCAAAGTCATTGGTTTCCCCATTGTGAAATAACTCAGTGTGGATCTGTAACAGTATTTCAACATCCCAGACCAGGGTCATTTCACAAAGGACTTTTGCCAATACTTTGTTGCGTTTTCTCTCTGACAATTTTTTTTTTTTTAAATTGTACTTCAGATGAAGGTTTACAGAACAAATAGTTTCTCATTAAACAGTTAGTACACATACTGTTTTATGTCGATGGTTAACAACCCTACAATATGTCAACACTGTCCCTTCTCAACCTTGGTCTGACCACAATTTGTTATTAACTTTATGATGTAAAAACTGTATGACGATAGTTTGATTTCTACTCGCTTTTGCTAAACCAAAAACCCACCGCTGTAAAGTCGATTCTGACTCCTATCGACCCTAGAGGACAGAGAACTGCCCCATAGGGCTTCCAAGGCTGTAATCTTTATGAAGGCAGACTGCCACATCTTTTGCTTGTACAGTGGCTGGTGGGTTCCAACCGCTGACATTTCGGTTAGCAGCCGAGCACGTAACCACTGAACCACCAGCGTTCCCTCGCTTTAGCTAAAAGCAGTAAAGTTTTCAATGACACCGCTGTAATTTTTTTTTTGTCTGTTTTCTGCCTTTAAAGTGACACAAGTTTTCAACTTTTTCATTAGAAAATATTATTTTATTTATCCTGGAAAATGACTGGTTTTCCAGAAAAGTTGTTATTTTTCATTTCAAATACGTAGCTTGGTCTAATCAAAACCCAATTTTCAGCAAGGCACCGACGTATTTTTCTTTCCTGGCTGTTTATGTGGAATTCTCACATGAAAAGATTCGTCTCAGCATATCCAGATTTATTTTCTGTTTGAACCAGAACTCTGTACCTTCCACTTATGCTTACAATGTTTTTCTGCATCATGGTTTTTTTGCTTGTTTTGAAAGCCACTGTGAGGAAGTTACTTCTCTTGAAGTTTGATGAACATGAAATCAGGCAGCAATATGGCAGTCGCAGGGACAAAAAGTTCAGAGTGGTGTGTGCGTCAGTGTTTTAAATGAAGAGAAGAGCACATGAAAAGCTCGGAGTTTAGAGAGATCGAGGAACTGAAGGACATGCGCTAAGCCTGGAGGAGAGTTAGAAACAGTGAGTGGCAAGAAACGAACTTAGAAGGACAGGCAGAGCCACATGGAGAGGTCCTCTTGATAAACTGGGACCACAGTGTAAGGGTGACGGAAAGCCAGTAAAATGTTTTAATCCGAGAAGTAAACGATAAACAGTGCACGAAGCATGGTTGCTGAGGTAGAGATGACAGCCTGAATCAGAACAGGGATGGAGAACAGATACATTTAAGAGGTACTGAAAAGGGAGACAGCACTTGGTGACTGGCTGCAGGAAATACCCTCAAGAGCTGCAAAACATATTTGACAAGTTTACTACTAGAAACAGGGAAAATATTATGGAGCTGAATCTGGTCAGTAAAATGGGTATTAATTTGGTAATAGTACTTCTAAATCAAGTGGATTATGAAATACAAGTCTGAAGGCAATTGCAAAGGAAGCACACACAATTCATTTACCTCTAACTTTTCTACAAATACCTGAACCACCACCTAGGTGTCTACACTGTCTTGGGTATCTGATGACGTGGTAAATGTGACAACTGTCTTAATGGAGCTTACATTTTTGTGGGGGAGAGAGACAATAAACTGACACATCAGAAAAATATAAAGAAGTAATCAGTGCTGTACAGACAATTAAGATCGGGTAATGTGATACATTAGACAAATGCTGGTTTTTAACTGGGTAAGGGCAACTACAGGTCCCTGAGTGGAGCGAACAGTTAAGCACTCAACTACTAAACAAAAGGTTAGCAGTTCGAACCCACCCAGAAGCACTCAGAAGACAGGCCTGGTGATCTACTCTGAAAGGTCACGGCCTTGAAGACCCTGGGGAGCAGTTCTACTCTGCCACGTGGCGTTGCCGTGAGTCGGAACGGCTGGACAGCAACTAACAACCACAAACGGTGATCCCACCAGATAAGCTGTGGCAACGTGCAGCTGACGGCCGAGGTGAGGTTCAAGATGAAACCTGAAGACCAGGGGCTAACATACGGTGTCGCGGGGAGAGCACTCCGCGCAAAGGCTCTGAAACGGAGAAGGCGGACTGTGGTGCTGGTTGAAACAGGAAGGACGGATAACACAGAAGGCTTTTTAAGTCCAGGTAATAAGTTTAGGTTTATATTAAACGTAAAAGAAGCCACTGGATAGTTTTAAACAAGGGAATGCTACGATCCGATGTGTCATTTTAAAAGATCATGAGCTGCTTTGTGAACAATGGATGGTTAGAGCAGCATGAACAGAACAAAAGGACTAAGAGGCTAGTACAAGAACGCAAGCCAGAGATGACGATGACTTGAACACGGGGTGAGAGAGATGGAGAGGCGACAGAATCACCCAGATCCGCTGATGGACTGGGTGTGGCAGGCAGAAAGAAAGACACTCAAGAATAATGCTGAGATATTTAGCTTGAGTAACTGGGCTGACAGTGGTGTCGTTTACTGAGCTGGAGAAAACTGAGGAAGCAGCAGCTTTGGCGCTGTTTGGCCATATTAAACTGGAGATGCCTATGAGATATACAGGCATGGAGAAGGGAAACGAGCCGTCGAACATGTGCTTCCAGAGTTGTAGGGAGAGGAAAAGGCTGGACGCAAGGCTGTACTGGTGGAACAGGACATAGTTTTCCAAATATTATGCAAATATTCAGTCTCCAATCACAACAGGATCCTCATTGTTCGCTGCTGCTCAGCATTCCTTACAGCTTTCCTTAGGCAATTTCTCCCCATCTCAAAATGGCTATTCCAAACCTCCACTCCCTGGAACCTCTGATTCCATCAGTTACTCCTTCCCTCTCAACAGATGAAGCTGGCTTCTTGCTACGTCACCAAGAAGGTTTGACTTATCCGACCAGAGCTCCTCACTTCTCTGCCACCACACCCAGTTCCCTGCACAGCATCTCTCGTTTGTTCCTCTGTCTGGGTCCCTCCTGAGCCCACACAGACTGCTGCATGTAATTCTCCTCTCCTCTCATTCCTTCCATACCCTACTCTCTTTCTCCTCCTCCACTCAGAGCCAAACTTCTTGAAAGACTCCTCAACTACTGAAAATCTGACCTCCATCCCTTCAGCCACTGAGAATATTCTCACTAAAATCATCAATGACCACCTTTCTGAAAAAATCTATGACACTTCTCAAAGCTGAGGGGCAGTACTGCATAGCGGTTAATAGGATGACTTCTAGAGCCAGAATGGGTTTGAACTTACTAGCTATGTGACCTTGGGCAAGTAACTTAACCTCTCTGAGCTTCTGCTTCACCCTCCGGGGTGGTAAGAGCTATTACCAGGCTCAGAGATGGTACCATCTCCTGTAGTTTACCCTGCCCTCTGCTTTGTAAACGGCCCCTTATTGACCTTCCATGAATTATCCTAACTCTAAAGTGTGCCATGTTTCCTGCCGAGACCTTGCTGATACAGTAGGCAGTCAATAAAACCTGCTCAACAAGTGAGTGATGATTTCTTCTAACTTCACGAAGACAACCCTCTCTGTGGAAAAGCTCTTTTTTGGTAGTAGGGAGAAAAAAAAAAAAAAAAAAAAGACAAAGGAATAAAGGGGAATAGGACAAAAGCTCAAATACTGTATCTTGGCCTTTAATTAATTTTTATCAGTTAAATGGAAAGACCATCAAAACATAATTGCCGTAAGAAATTCACGGCCCCAAAAGGCAGTATAGTATAGTGGTTACAAACGTGGACCTCAAAGCCAAACTGCCAATTAGTACTGTGTGACCCTGGACAAATTACCAAGCTTTACTGTGGCTCCGTCTCCTTTTCTGTAAAACGGTGATATCAGCTATCCAAGGTTGCCTAGTTCACAATTCAAAGGGGTATCTGTCCTTCATAAAACACAACAAAAGTGGTGTTCTCTAGAGCTGTAACATGCTGCAGCCCCAGAGCTCCCTCGTAAGAGTGTCATGAGGATAAGTGGGGTTAATACACACGAAGCACAGTATGGAAGACAGGACTGAAAATCCAGGGCTTTGTAGGGTATGGGACAGAATCTGGATATGACTCTAGCTGTGACGGGAGGCCACTGGAGGGATATTTACAGGTGAAGAGAGTCCCCAAACTCCTGACAAGAGAGTCTGCCCCTAACCAGGACGTTCTTCCCCTGGATCTCCGCAGCACTCACTCTCTTCCCTCCTTCGCGTGTCACTCAAGTCTCACTTCATCAGAGGCCCTCCGTGAGCAGCATGGAGAAGACAGAAAAGTCTCCCTCCACGCCATCTACTCGGATCTCTCACTCCTTCCAAACTTGCCTTTTCTCCGTAGCACCTGAAATATCATATTTTTATTTTATTGCCCCCCACCCCCACCCTTCACGAGGGCAAGGACTTTGTTTTGCTCACCACTGTATCCTCAGCACCTAGAACAGTCCTGGGATTAAAAAAAAAAAGTTGCCGTAGAGTCAATTCCAACTCATGACGACCCGTGTGTGTCAGAATAGAACTGTGCTCCACAGGGTTTTCAATAGCTGATTTTCCAGAAGGAGATCACTGGGCCTTTCTTCCCCGGGCATAAAGATGATGCTTAGTAAGTATTATTATTTGAATAAATGAATGGTACCTAGCAGACAGTAAGTACTTAGTAAATATTAGGAACTATTAACATAAATCCCATAAGTCACTTCATAATTCTAAATGAAGAAGACATACCTTGAATCATTTCACTGATTTTGTTACAGATTCCAACAGCAAAATCCCTTTGGAAAGAGAGAAAAGCAAATACTTTAATACCAAAAAAACTAAATTTGCTTAAGTTTTCCAAGGACTTGAAAAAAAAATAATACACTTGGTAAACTACAGAACAGGGGAAACACATCACTCCAAATCATAACTGCTGTTCAGGTATTTGGAGGGACGAGGGGTGAGACACAACAGAAACCACCACCCCAGTCGCTAAGCGGGCCTGCGCCCACACCATTCTCACGTGCTACTCAAGGAGACACCCTCGTTCGTTTGCTGTGGCAATGTGCATCACTTAGTGACATTTTCTGAAAGATTAACAGTCGTTACCTTCATCTGTGATGTTTTAGGATGTACTTTCAATTAAGAAAAGATTTTAACATACAAACTGATTACACAAGCAATAAAACCTATTCCTAATATTCTGCATTGCAGAAGAACAAAGTAGGTATGAAGTGGCAGAAATGTAGCAGGAAGTATGACAGAATCTTCCTAAAAGCTAAACTACCTCAAGTTAGCCACGTTTGGTTGTTTGTTTTTTAACTTTCTTGTAGTAAAACATAAAATTTGCCATTTTATCCATTTTTAAGTGTACGATTCAGTGACATTAATTACATTCGTCATGTTGTGCAAAGTTTTTCATTGCTCCTAAAAGAAAGTCAATACCCCTGAAGCAACAACTCCCCATCTCCCCCTCCCACCAGCGCCTGGTAATAAACTTTTATCTCCCTGCAAATGTGTACTCCAGACATTTCATATGAATAGGCTCATACAGTATGTGAACTTTTGTGCCTGACTTATTTCACTTAGCACACTGTTTTCAAGGGTCATCCATCTAGCAGCATGCACTGAAACTTCATTTCTCTTCATGGCTGAGCAATACTCCATTGTATGTACATACCATACTTTGTTTATCCATTCATGTGTTGACGGACACTTTCCACCTTTTAGTTACTGTGAATGATGATGCAGTGAACACTGGGGCCCAACCCTTTGTCTGAGTCCCTGCTTCAAGTCCTCTGGGTATGTATTTAGGAGTGGAATTGCTGGGTCGCACAGTAATTCTATGTTTGACTTTATGAGGAATCACCAAACCATTTTCCACAGCAGCTGCATCATTTACAACCCTGCCAGCAATGGATGAGGGTTCTAATTTTTCCACATCCTTGCCAACATTTGTTATTTTCTACTTTTTCGGTAACAGCCATACTTGTGAGCGTGAAGTGGTATTTCATTTGGCTTTGATTTACATTTCCTTAATGACTAACGCCACCGAGCACCTTTCCATGTGCTTACTGGCCATCTGTGTATCTTCTTTGGAGAAATGTCTATTTGAGTACTTTACCCATTTTTGACTGGTTGTTTATCTTCTTGCTAAATTGTAGTTCTTTATATATTCTGGACATTAAACCTTTATCGTGTATACGGTTACCAAACATTCTGCAGGTTGTCTCTTCACTTTCCTGATGAAGTCCTATGATGCACAAGAGTTTTTAATTTTGATGAACTCCAGTTTATCTATTTTCTTCTTTTGTTGCTTATGTTTCTGGTGTCATATCTAAGAATCCACTGTCAAAAAATAGGTCTAAAGCTTTACCCCATGTCACTTCTAAGAGTTTTATAGTGTTAGCGCTTATATTTAGGCCATTCATCTATTTTGAGTTAATTTTCATGTGGTGTCAGGTAAGGGTACAGCTTTAGTCTTTCGCATGAGGAGACACAGTTGGCCCAGCACCATTTGTTGAGACTTCCTATTTTTTTCTTGAGTCAGTTCAGGTAGTTTATGTGTTCCTAGGAATCTGTGTATTTCCCCGAGATGATCTAATCTGCTGGTGTACCATTGTTCATAATACTTCCTCACAATCTTTTTATTTCTGCAGTGTCAGTAGTAATATCCCCACTGTCAATTCTGAAATACATTTATTCGCCTCTTTTTTTTTTCTTTCCTTGTCACTCTAAGGATTTGTCGATTTTATTGAGCTTTTCCAAGAACCAACTTTTGGTTTCACTGATTTCCTCTATTGTTTACCTATTGTCTATTTCATTTATCTCCACTCTAATCATTTTTTTTTTTAAATATCATGTATGTGGTAAGTGGAGCCCTGGTGGCAACGTGGCTAAACGTTAGGCTGCTAACCAAAAGGTCAGCAGTGTGAATCCACCAGCTAGTCCTTGGAAACTCTATGAGGCAGTTCTACTCTGTCTTGTAGGGCAGCTATGAGTCAGAATCGACTCGACAGCAATGGATTTGGTTTTTTGGTTTGGTATGTGTAAAGTATTTTCCAAGGTGTTGCTGTGACCAGCATGACTAGTAATTCTACAGTAACAGAAATATCACTGAATGTTGCAAAATTTATTAATAACATGAACATTTGGGATACTACATAATATGTAAGGAAATAGGACAAAGATAAAATGATCAAACTTGGTTCATTTAGTCATGATAAATGATACACAAGTCATGAAACACTTCCTCTCTGCAGTTCCAGGGAAGTCTAAATAAAATATTTCCTGCCATTAAGATATTACAGTAAAATCTGCGAGACCTGGAACACGTGTGGGGCAGAAGGCTGTCACAGAAGGAAAATTCAAATATCTTCCACCAAAACGAGCGACAGAATAGTAAGGCTACACCCCGTCCAAGGCGGACAGCTTGCGAGATGCGGAGAAACAAGGCAGCCCCGTCAAGTCCCGGCTCTCGCAGGTCTCACCACATCTGCCTTGTTCACTTTCACGCTCTCACAAGTGTACCGTGGAGTTTTCCAGAGGCCTGCAAACTACAAATCTGAAGCCTGCCAATTTTCCTTTGTCCAATAATACCTTTTTCATTTTTAATGTCAACATTTAAATATGGTGAGACTAAGCAGAATACTCTAATTTTCCAGTTTCTCCCAAAAGAAAAAAAGGGGTCTAACACCCCGGCACATACTCCTGCATTGTGACAATGGGCTGTGCCTTTCAGTAGATGCGTGGGCTCCTCAGGTCACCAGTGGCCGCGGGACGACACCCCCTTACTCACAATGCTCGTCTGCCCCTGAAGGCATCCGGCTCTACAACTCCTACTTGAGGACCTAGAGAACAGGTCTTTAAAAAAAATATAAAATCTTACCTTTTTTTAGAGCAAGTTAGAAGTGGTTATGGCGGCAAATAGGGTACAACAGAATTAAATAAATTCTCAAAATCTTATTTGGCCATTTACTGTGATTTTTTTTTAAGATCCCAAATAGAAAAACAGAATACTAAGACAAAAATCTATCAGTATCACTTGAGATATTTAATCTCAATTCAGGTCATTATTTCTGGGGGAGAAGGTAAATACCGATCTGAAAAAGAGATGTCATTAATCTCATGCTCTGATAGGTCTTTCAGGCTTTCCTACTGGGCTAATCTGGTATTTTTAATATCACAAATTACAAGTGTATCAGACGAAAGCCTCCACATAAACTAATAATTTAGATGTCTATTGGTCATCAAGGAGCCCTGGTGGCACAGTGGTTAAAGCAACTGACTGCTAACTGGAAGGTCAGTGGTTCGAAACCACCGCAGCTCCATGGAAGAAAGATGTGGCAGTCTGCTTCCGTAGGGATTTACAGCCTTGGAAACCCTATGGGGCAGTTCTACACTGTCCTACAGGGCTGGTATGAGTCAGAATTAACTTAATGGCAATGGGTTTAGTTTAAATTGGTCATCAATTCCATAAGTGAAGAACCTTGTTGTTTCTATGTTACTTAGTCTTAATTATTTTCTAAGATAGATAAGTAATCCCACAGATAAAATTAAATTAGCTTCTGATAATAACATATTGTTGCTGTTACGTTGTTAGGTGTCCTCAAGTTGGTTCTGACTCTTAGCGACCCCGTGTACAACAGAACGAAACACTGCCCGGTCCTGCGTTATCCTCACAATTGTTGCTATGTTTGAACCCACTGTTGCAGCCACTGTGTCAATCCACATTGAGGGTCTTCCTCTTTTTCTCAGATACTCTACTTTACCAAGCATGATATCCTTCTACAGAGACTGGTCCCTAATGATAACACGTCCAAAGTAAGTGAGATGAAGTCTTGCCATCCTCGCTGCTAAGGAGCATCTGGCTGTACTTTTTCCAAGACAGATTTGTTCGTTCTTCTAGCAGTCCACGGTATATTCAATATCTTTTGCCAACACCATAAATCAAAGGCATTAAGTCTTCTTCGGTCATCCTTATTCACTGTCCAGCTTTCACATGCATGTGAGATGATTGAAAACACCATGGCTTGGGTCAGGCGCACCTTAGTCCTCAAAGTGACACTTTTGCTTTTCAACACTTTAAAGAGGTCGTTTACAACAGAGTTGCTCAATGCAATATGTCATTTGATTTCTCAATTGCTGCTTCCGTGGGTGTTCACTGTGGATCCGAGTAAAATGAACAACTGCCTCTTGGTCTATGTACAGGTTCCTCATGAGTACACTTAAGTGTTCTGGAATTCCCATTCTTCACAATGTTAGCCACAATTTGTTATGATCCACACAGTCGAATGCCTTTGCATAGTCAATAAAACATAGGTAAACATCTTTCTGGTATTCTCTGCTTTCAGTCAAGATCCACCTGACATCAGCAATGATATTCCGCATTCCGTGTCCTCCTCTGAATCCGGCTTGAATTTCTGGCAGTTCCCTGTGGATGTACTGCTGCAACCGTTTTTGAATTATCTTCAGCATAATTTTACTTGCATGTGATAGTAATGATATTGTTCGATAATTTCCACATTCCGTTGGATCATCTTCCTTTGGAATAGGCACAAATATGGAACTCTTCTAGCTGGCTGGCCAGGTAGCTATCTTCCAAATTTCTTGGTATAGACAAGTGAGCACTTCCAGCATTGCATCTATCTGGGGTAACATCTCAACTGGTATTCCCTAGATTCCTGGAGTCTTGTTTCTCACCAATGCCATCAATGCAGCTTCCACTTCTCCCTTCAATACCACTGGTTCTTGATCATACGCTACCTTCTGAAATGGCTGAATGTCAACCAATTCTTTTTGGTATAGTGACTCTGTGTATTCCTTCCATCTTCTTCTAATGTTTCCTGCGTTGTTCAACTTTTTTGCCCATAGAATCCTTCAATATTCCAACTCAAAGCTTGAATTTTTTCTTTGGTTCTTTCAGCTTGCGAAATGCCGAGCATGTTCTTCCCTTTTGGTTTTCTAACTCCAGGTCTTTGCACGTTTCATTATAAACTTTGCTTTGTCTTCTTGAGCCACCCTTTGAAATCTTCTGTCCAACTCTTTTACTTCATCATTTCTTCCTTTCACTTTAGCGACTCTACGTTCAACAATAAGTTTCAGAGTCTCTTCTGACATCCATTTTGGTCTTTTTTTTTCTTTTCTGTCTTTTTAACGACCTTTTGCTTTCTTCATGTATGTTGCCCTTGATGTCACACCACAATTCGTCTGGTCTTCGATCATTAGTGTTCAGTGAGTCAAATGAATTCTTGAAATGGTCTCTAAATTCAGGTGGAATATACTCAAGGTCATACTTTGGCTCTCGTGGACTTGTTCTACTTTTCTTCAGCTTCAACTTGAACTTGCATATGAGCAACTGATGGTCTGTTCTGCAGTCAGCCTCTGGCCTTATTCTGATATTGAGCTTCTCCATCATTTCTTTCCATATGTGTGGTCGATTTAATTCCTGCATATTCCATCTGGTAAGCTCCACGTGTATAGTCACTATTTATGTTGTTGAAAAAGATACTTCCAATGAGTAAGTTGTTGGTCTTGCAAGATTCTATCATGCAATCTTCTGCGACATTTCTAACACCAAGGCCATATTTTCCAACTACTGACCCTTCTTCGTTTCCAATTTTTGCATTCCCGTCATCAGTAATTATCAATGCATCTTGATTGTGCGTTTAATCAATTTCAGACTGCAGAAGTTGGTAAAAATCTTCAGTTTACTGACCCTTCTTCATTTCCAATTTTTGCATTCCCATCATCAGTAATTATCAATGCATCTTGATTGTGCGTTTAATCAATTTCAGACTGCAGAAGTTGGTAAAAATCTTCAGTTTCTTCATCTTTGGCACTGGCAGTTGGTGCGTAAATTTGAACAGTGGTCTTGTTAACTGGTCTTCCTTGTGGGTATACGGATATTATCCTACTACTGACAGTGCTGTATTTCAGGATCAGTCTTGAAATGTTCTTTCTGACAATGAATGCAACCCCGTTCCTCTTCGTCATTCCCAGCATTGTAGCCCATATGACTGTCTGATTCAAAATGGCCAATACCAGTCCATCTCAGTTCAGTAATGCCTAGGATATCGATCTTCAAGCGTTCCATTTCATTTTTGACAACTTCCAATTTTTCTTCCTTCAGACTTCGTACGTTCCATATTCTGATTATTAATGGATGTCTGCAGCTATTTCTTCTCATTCTGAGTCATGCCACAAATGAAGGTCCTGAAAGCTTGACTCCATCCACGTCATTAAGGTCAACTCTACTTTGAAGAGGCAGCTCTTCCCCAGTCATAGTTTGAGTCGCTTCTAACCTGAGGGGCTCATCGTCCGGCACTGTATCAGACAACATTCCACTGCTATCCATAATACTCTCCCTGTTCAATTCTTTTCAGAAGTAAACCGCTATGCCCTTCTTCCCAGTCTGGGTTAGTTTGGAAGCTCCACTGAAATCTGTCTGCCATGGATGACCCTGCTGGCATTTGAAATACCAGTAGCATAGGTTCCAACATCTCGACAATACACAAGCCACCTCAGTACAACAAACTGACAGACGAGTGATAACTGTGTGACAATAACATAAGAGGAGAAAAAGCTATCTAAAACTGATTCTCAGGTGTAAAAATTATGAAATTACAAATTCATCGCCCAAATCTAGAAACTCAATTTAGAAAATTGTTTCTGGAACCACTGAAAGTACACATTTAACCTGACAGGTTATCCAATGTTGCGCACCTTGACAGTGGTAATCAGATGGTAACCATTCACTAGCCATAACTCTCCTCCAGTTAACAGTGGTTTTAAAAAAGTTCTGTCAATATCAATGACTCTCAATAAAGAAAAAAAAAGAAAACAGCACAAACAGGAACTTAGGTATTTACTCAGGTATTTCTCCCTCTCAATTACTGCCACACCTATTAATGATAAACAGTAAATAATTAAGTATATGTTTTCTCTCCTTTCTCAATGAGTAATCCTGGAATTTTGAAGGTATGATAAGAGCAGCTGAAGAAACGAATATGCATATAATTAAAATCTGAAGAAAGGAAGAAAGGTTTCCAAATTTAGCAATGGTTCTTAGTTGAAATGCTGTTTAGGTAAAAAAAAAATTACATTTATTATTCACCTGACTATAAAGCTTAAACTTGCTCATGACAGGATCTACAGAAATATACCAAAAGAACAAAAATTATAAACTATCTTACCAACTAGAGACAACATTCTGACATATATCCTTCTAGTCTTTTTTCAAATCATATGGTTTTTTACAAACCTGGAATATGATGTAGGCTATTATGTAACCTACTTCCAAATAAGTTTCTACAACGTATTTGTTAAAGGCTCATATAGTATTCCATTGTATGATCATATCATAATTTATCTAAGCTCATCCCCATTGGCTGGAATTTAGGTTGCATCTGATTTCTTTTGTTATTTTAAGTAACACTACAACAAGCATCCTTGCAAATAAGTATCAACACATACTGCTGACTCCTTAAAATAAATTTTGAGATGTGGATTTTCTGGGTCGAAGGGATACATATGTTTAAGGTTTTCCACACACATTACCACAATGCCCTTCAGAAGGCAACGGTAATTTTCACATCAGTAAAGAGGAAATATACTTTTTTAGAGGGTAAACAGGCAAGTCAAAAAACATAGTAAAAAAGCAATGGTCAACACTTCATTAAAAAAAAAAAAATTGTTCTGTAAGACAACAGTGTAGGACATGACATCCTAAGTTGGTTAAAATTGGTTTCAACTCAAGTTACTGTCTTAGTCAAACTGTGTGCAGCTCTAATGCCAAATAGCTTAACATGAGAGATAAAGAGAAAACAGTAATTTAGTATTGGGGATGTGTACGTTTGGGGAGGCTGCTCAGCAGACAAAGCTTCTGCTCCCCAATGGTGGGCGCCTTCCCAAACTAATCTGTGTTGATCCTGTTCTTCTGAAAACTCTTATCTCATTAACAGTTATTGCCAATATTTTGTACTTAAGTTTTCTGTTTTACGTATTTAAGTATTATTTCCCCAGTGTGATGCAAACCTTCTTAGATATGCACCTTTGCCATTTACATTTTCTATATCCTTAGTATTTCTACATATTGATCAGTTATTCCTTTAAAAACTCTTCTTATAGAGTTAAAAGGTCTGTGCTTACTTTAGAACCCTGGTGGTGCAGTGTTTAAGAGCTCAGCTGCTAACCAAAAGGCCAGCAGTTCGAATCCACCAGTCACTCCTTGGAAACCCTATGGGGCAGTTCTAGTCTGTCCCATAAGGTCACTATGAGTCAGAATCAACTCGACAGCAATGGGTTTGGTTTTGCGTTTTTTGGATGCTTACTTGGACTGTGCAGAGAAGTTTGCAGCTGCAAAAACAGCAGCTTCAACTTCTACATTATCATGTGAATCCAGACTCTGACGAATACTGTGATGAGCATTCTTCCTCTCAGGAATTATTGACGCCAGACTTCCCAACATCCTAGAGAAAGAGAGAAACCTAAGCTGAACAGGTGCATAGTTAAGTCCAAGGTCAACAAAGGAAGAAGCAAGGCTAAGCAAGCAAGACTGCCAAACTAAAGCTTGTAGGTAATTCCCTAAGAGTCAGGTTAATAAAGCATCAACCTTAGCAATAGCAGTGATTCAAATTCTAAACACTTTCACATACTTCAATATGCCAGAAAAATTAAAACGACTTATATAACATGAGCAAAATAAAGAAACTTGAAATACATCTCAGGTACCAAACAGGGCCCAGAAAAGAAACTTCTGAATTATTAAAGCATCAAAATGACAATTTTCCAGTGTTGCATAAAGAAGTCCATTTTAGCAAAGCATTAAGAGCCCCACATTTTTTCTATTAAACAAATACACAAAGGAAAAAAAGTAACACTTTTTAACCCTTTTTTCCACATCAGTAAATACTGATACAATACTTTTAAAATCTATCCTCATCATTAAAAGAACAGAGGTGGAGGGCTCCCCCTGGGGCTCACAGCAGAGTATGCAAGGTTAAGAAAGGTATCATTTGTAATTGAAATTCTATTCTATTAAATTTAGATTTAAAAAGAGAAAATCAATTAACTGGCTTTAAAATACCACACAGCTGCTCACAATTAATCACACAAAAGGCAGAGGAATGACAAAAGCAATTGCTACTCTTGACTTAACTCTGAACCAGAAGGTAGAACTGGTTCCTGCTGTGGGAAAAATGGAATCTTGAGGAAGAAGTGACATCCCAGGCTTTATATTAAAAAGGGGATTGTCAGGGCAGGGTAAGTGAGAAACGAGACCTATAGTTTAGAGAAGTGAATTTCAAAAATCTGAAAAAATCATACATGACTCCACAAAAGTATAAAGAGACAGCAAAAGTTATAAAGAGAACATGGTCCAAGCTGGATATAAGGCTTCTAAAATGAAATTCTAATAAAATACACTATCATGTTTTCAATGCCTAGGAAGAAAATTCTAAAGAAAAGACTGGTTATACCCAGTGTTCTCCAACGAGCTCAAATATAAACGATCATATGTAAAAATGAAAGGCAGAGTACATAACCAAGGAACAACACAAAAAACTGACATAAAACAATTGAGAACAGAGCCAGGAAGGCAAAAGTTCAAAATGAGCAGAGGCTAAGCTGTATTCAGATCCACTGAGTTATCTTATTGGAACACCCACAAAGACGAGCATTTCAAACACAAGTTAGGCTACAATTTATAACTAAAGTAGTATCATAGATATTAACTGAAAAGAATTCACAGACTGGAATGGTTACACTATTTTTGCATTGAGTCTTAGTCCAAAAACCAAAAGTAAATCCTTAAAATTAAAAAATACACACACACACATACACACACACACACAAACTGCTTTTCTGTTCATCATTACAGCTTAAACAATCTTGTGGTGAATCATTATAACAACACAGTATACCGGAGTGTGATGGCTCTTGCCACAGGATCATTACTATGAATTACAGAGAAGATTCTCTTCACAAATTCATCCACATTTAGAATCTTCTCCAAATGCTTCTCACTTTGTTGAGTAACTTTAAGAACACACAGCCTCAGGAAATTGTTTCTATGAAAAACCAGAGAAAAGATAAATTAAAACCATTTTTGGAAAGTAATACTTAACTAAGGATCAAAGCAACACTAATGATAATAAATTTTAACAACAGACAAATGTTTTACAATCTTATTACTATTTGTTTCACCACTAAAGAAGTTAAGTAAAGTCTGTACTTTAGGGGGAGATTAAGTGTGAGCAGTTAGCTATTTAGTTGTTCCTGCTGCAGGAAAACAAAACGGCAGTGACACAAGAAGCAGCCCTCAAGTCGAAACTTTGATAGTAATTTAACGAAGATCAGGGAGGTTAGATGGTCTTCCTCCTCTCTCAGGCTAATCCTACAACATCTTTTCTCCTTCAAGTCTGATCTGGTAGGTGTGTGTGTGCACACAGGCACACAGAGAAGGACAGAAAGAAGGGGGTGGTGGAGAGGGAATGCGGCGGAGAAGAAAAGGGAGGAGTTTATTCAGTGCTTACTTCTGTTCAGCCACTTCAGACATGCATCTCATCTTACAAAACAAACTATTAAATTAAATCAGAAACTTCTCAAAACAGTCTGTACAAAGCCACCGATTTTTCCAAAATATAAGTAACAAAGTTGTCTTAATTTGATTTATCCCATTCCCCAAAAAAATAAGTATTCTCTGAATTATACTCTTCATATTTGCTTAAGACCTCGTTAAATTTCACCGTAAGTTTGCACACTGCCACATGCATCGCTAAAGTGGTAGCTAACCCTGGGAAACCCTAAAAGGCAAAACGAACAAAGACTACAGTACAAAGCAAAGAAATACGAACAGAGTGCTTTAGGACACTGAAGCCTTACAAAGACTTACCCAACTCTGAAAACATCAGCTAACTTTAGGAACGCAGAATTGATGAGAATAGGGAAGGGATACTTCTGAAAGAGTCTGGGAAAGCGAACAACGGCTTCACACTGTTCACCAAGTTTGCCAGATCTTAGACCTGTGAAAAGCATAAAAAAGGGAGAACAGCTTGTAAATGGGCAGCTACAAGGCAAAAATAGCAAATAACACTGAATTCCACAGTAAAGTAACAATTCCTTAATCATTCTTAACAATTAGGTAAATATGACTATAACTCATTATCTTTTAAAAGTAAAAAATGGAATATGAAATAGCTATATGGTAGATTGCCACTTTCAGACACATAGTATAATGAAAAAGGAACATTTTTTTTTAATTCAAATTTTTTTTTTAAATTGTACTTCAGGTGAAGGTTTACAGAACAAATAGTCTCTCATGAAACAGTAGTACACATATTATTTTATGACACTGGTTAACAACCCCACGACATGTCAACCCTCTCCCTTCTTGCCTTTTTTTTTTTTTGGTGAAAATATACATAGGCAATGATACACCATTTCAAAAATTCATACACGCACAGTTCAGTGACATCGACTACATTCTTCCAATTGTGCTGCTATTCTCACTTTAGATGAAGGTTTACAGAACAAAATAGTTTCTCATTAAACAGTACACATGTTGCCCTATGACAATGGTTAACAACCTCACAACACATCAGCACTATCCTTACTCAACCTTGGGTTCCCTATCATCAGCTTTCCTGTCCCCTTCTGCCTTCTAGCCTTTGTCCCTGGACTGCTGGCCTCATTAGTCCCATTTGGTTTTATGGGGCTGTCCACCCCCCGGCTGAACGGTGAACCTCGGAGATGACTTCACCACTGAGCTAAAAGGCTGTCTGGGGGCCATACTCCTGGGGTGAAACATTTTTTTTTTTAAAAAAAAGGTAAGTATTTATTAAGAATATTCTGGGCTATAAAATAAATTTGAAAGGACTGATCATACAAAGCATGTTCTCTGACCACAATGGAATTAAATTAGAAGTCAATGAGAAAGATACATAGAAAATTCCCAAATACTTAGAAATTAAACAACATACTTAAAAGTAACTCATGGGCCAAAGAAGAAATGAGAGAAATTAGAAAAATACTTTGAATGAAAATGAAAGCACAATCTGTGGAATACAGCTAACGTAGTGCTTCAAGGAACACTTACAACATTAAACGCTTATATTTTCTAATATATGCAACGTCTCAACTCATTGATCTAACAAGAGTGCCAAGATACTTCAATGTGGAAAGGATAATCTTTTCAATAAATAGTTCTGCAACAACTGGACACCTACAAACAAAAATATAAACCTCAATACTTGTACCATATACAAAAAATTAACTCAAAATGAACCATAAACCTAAATATAAGAGCTAAAACTATAGACCATGCAGAAGAAAGCACCGGAAATCTTCACGACCTTGGGTTAGTCAAAGAATTCTTAAATAAAATACAAACACACAAACCATACAATAAAAAAAGTGGTAACTTGAACTCCATCAAAATTTAGATCATCTGTTCTAAAAATAATAAAAAGAAAAATAAAAAGACAAGCCACACACCAGAAGAAGATATTTAAAAAACACATATCTGATAAAAGGCTTCCTCCATAATTCTTAAAATTAGTAATAAGACAAACAACCCAATTTTCCAAATGGGCAAAAGATATGAAGAGAAACTTCAGTAAAGAGGAAATATGGATGGCATACAAGCTCATGACCAGATGGATGCTCAGCATTGCTAGCGGGCTGGAAAGGCAAGTGAAAAATCACAGTGAGATACTACTACACATCCACTAGAATGGCGAACATTTAAAAAGACGGACAATACCAAGTGCTAATGAGGACGTGGAGCAACTGTAACTCTCCTACCTGGCTAGTCGGGATGTAAAACTAGTTACTTTCAAAACAGTTCAGCAGTTTCTCACAAGGTAAACATACACTTAGCATAAACCTGGAAATCTCACTTCTAGATATTTTTTCTTGTTGTTAGGGGCCTCTAGTTGATTTTGACTCATAGTGACCCCATGTGACGGAGCAGAACTCCCCCGTAGGGTTTTGGCTGTAATCTTTACGGAAGCAGAGTGCCAGGTTTTTCTCCCATGGGGCCACTGGGTGGGTTCGAACTGCCAATTTTTCAGTTAGCAGCCGAGTGCTTAACCATTTGTGCCACCAAGTATCTTTACTAGATATTTGCTGTTGCTGTAAGGGGCTGTCAAGTCGGTTCCAACTCATAGCGACCCTGTGTACAACAGAATGAAACACTGTCCGGTCTTGTGCCATCCTCACAATTCCTTGTTAGACTTGATTGAGCCCATTGTTGTAGCCACTGTGTCAGTCCATCTTGTTGAGGGTCTTTCTCTTTTTCACTGACCCTCTACTTTACCTTGAGCATGATGTCCTTCTCCAGGGACTGGTCCCTCCTGATAACAGGTCCAAAGTATGTGAGATGAAGTCTAGCCATCTTCACTTCTAAGAAGCATTCTGGCTGTAATTCTTCTAAGACAGATTTATTCATTCTTTTGGTATATTCAATACCTTCACTAACACCATAATTCTTGGTCTTCCTTATTCACTGTCCAGCTTTTGCATGCATATGAGGTGACTGAAAATACCACGGCTTGGGTTAGGCACACCTTAGTCTTCAAGGTGGTATCTTTGCTTTTTAACACTTTAAAGAGGTCTTTTACAGCAGATTTGCCCAATGCAATGCGTCTTTTGATTTCTTGAGTGCTGCTTCCATGGGCATAGACTATGGATCCAAGTAAAATGAAATGCTCGACAACTTCAAACTTTTCTCTGTTTATCATGATGTTGCCTACTGGTCAAGTTGTGAGGATTTTTGTTTTATGTTGAGGTGTAATCCATACTGAAGGCTGTGGTCTTTGATCTTCATCAGTAAGTGCTTCAAGTCCTCTTCACTTTCAGCAAGCAAGGTTGTGTCATCTGCATACTGCAGGTTGTTAATGAGTCTTCCTCCAATCCTGATGTCCCGTTCTTCTTCCTAGAGTCCAGCTTCTCAGATTATTTGGTCAGCATACAGACAGAGTAAGTATGGTGAAAGGATACAACCTTGATGCACACCTTTCCTGATTTTAATCCACGCAGTATCCCCTTGTTCTGTGTGAATGACTGCCTCTTGGTCTATATACAGTCCCTCATGAGCAAACTTAAGCATCCTGGGATTCCCATTCTTCGCAATGTTATCCAAGTGGAACGAATTTTCAATATTTACTCATGTGAAATGAAACCATGTGTCCACATGAAGATTGGTATGCAAATGTTCACAGAAGCTTTATTCATAATAGGCCCAAACTGGAAATAATTCAAATGTCCATCAAGTAGTGAATAAGGACACAAATTGTGACCTATCCGTACAATGGGGTACTACTCAGCGATAAAAAGGAACCAACTGCTGATTCCTACAACGACACGCTTAGATCTCAAAGTCATTACACTAAGGGAAGGAGTCAGACCCCAAAGACAGTATGTTGTATGATTCCATTTACATGACATTCTGGAAAAGGCAAAACCAGAGGGGTGGAAAACAGACCAGTGGCTGCCAGGGGCTGGGGAGAGGGGACTAGCTGTAAAGGAGCACGGGGAAACTTTTTGGGGGTGAAGGACTGGTCCAAGTCTTGATTACGATGGTGGATTCATGACTGCATACACTTGTCAAAACTCATCAAACTGTACACTTAAAAAGTATACCTTTAAAAGTGTACCAACTTAAAAGTGTACCTTAAATTATGCTTCAATAGACCCAATTTCAAAAATTAAAAAACCCAACAGAGTTAACATTCAATCTTAAAAAAAAGTCATTAAGAATGAATACCTTGATAGGAAGTTAATAGCACCAGCTTCAAATATTTCCGTATTTTAGTATTTTACCATCCGCGAAAATGTGGATTATAACTGCACAAAGAATAAATACCAAATACAACCATGATTTACCTTCCCTTGGAAACAAAGTCACAGACCACACAGATTTGTTTATAAATGTGCCGGTCTAAAATGTACCAAAGACCATTCTGATCCGGTGGGAGAAATGTTCTGATTTCTAATACTACTTAATTGTATTGAAGATAAAGTAAACCTTCATTTCTCTAATAAAGACACCAGGGTAAACGAGCTAAAAAGTAATAAATCTCTGGCTTATTTTCCAATATAACAGTCTTAGGAGAGAGGAACTTTCGGAAGCAGGCTGGTGCTGACAGACTGGAGCCAGGGTGCAAGAGAGCAGAGAAGAGCTTTATGGCCTTAGCAATAACCCTGGGCTGGGGAGGCTGCAGTACCCATCTTGCTTGCTCTAAGGCCAATTTCGACTCCAGAATAAGCCCAGGACCCAAAACAGGAGCTGAGCCCATCAAATCCTGACCTAAAAGGGGTTCTTCACTTTATTTCTGCCACTAGCTACAACCAACCTGAGGAAGAATGCCCTCATCAAAAGATTCTGACACCACAGACAAAATTAAGGCTGAATGATGTGCTTACTGTTTCTGTATTTTACTTTTTATTCTCCCACCAGAGAAACAGATCTTTTTCCTTTTCTCACCTGGAGCTTAATTCAGTTGCAACATGCAGGTAGAGTAGGGGAAACTCAAGTAGGCCGTCTGTAAATTACTTCCTCATTCCAGATTCATTTGGCAACAGCGACACCACTCGTTAGTCAAAACTTAGCACTTAAAATGTGTGGAGCATTTTGCAGGGCTACTGGTTTCAGCTCTGCTTCTGCATCACAAACATTTGCTAGGCTTCCACTCCAAACCCATGGAATCTCTGGAGCCGTGCCCCAGGCTCGTGTTCCGCTGCTTTGAGAAAGAAGGCACCTGGACTGTCACGCTGACTCTGCCACCTGACAGTCTGCCTTGCTGACTACACTGATGTTAGGAAACCCGTGGCTACCAGCCCTAAGAATGGTTTTATTTGAGCCACAAGGTTTTTAAAGGTTTGAACTCAATACCAAATTTTAAAAACGGGGTTTTACATAAAACCCAGGATTTCTGGGGTTTTTGAAAAATTAAAAGATCTGAAATGTCACTGAAGAAGGTGGGAGTGTCTTGACCAAGGAAACATGGTGGAATTACAGGTC